AGGATCACCTTGAGCCCAGGAGTTAGACCAGAAGGCTGAGAACAGCAGACCCCCGAGTCTTCTCATCCCTCAAAAAAAAATTAAAAATAATTGGGCGTGGTGGCACAAGCCTGTAGTCCCAATACTCAGTAGGGCTGACGGTGGGAGGATCGCCGAGCTCAGTGATTTCGAGGGGCTGCAGTAAGCGGTGTGGCATATTGCATACACCGTTCCAGCCTGAGCAACACAGGAGATCGTGCTCAAGGAAAAAAAGAAAAAGTTTGCTCATCCTGAGCCTAAAGCAATGGTTGTCCACATGCTGGCGATTGTGCCAGGGAATTTTGTCAATGCTTGGAAACATTTCATGGTTGTCAAACTGTGAGGGTGGGGAGGGCATCCTACTTGGTATCTAGTAGTAGAGGCAGGGATTGGTTGTAATTTTTTTTTTTTTTTTTTTTTTTGACGATGGTGGCTCGCTCTGATTGCCAGAGCTGGAGTGCAGTGGCGTGATGTTGGCTCATGCACTCCGCTCCCGGGGTCAAGCAATTCTCCTGCGTCAGGCCTCCTGAGTAGTGGAATTACAGGTGCAGTGCCACACACCCAGCAGATTTTTGTATTTTTAGTAGAGACAGGGTTCACCCTTCATTGGGTCAGGATGGTCTGGAACATCTTGGACCTGGTGATTCCACCCACCTCAGCCTCCCAAAGTGCTGGGGGATTAACAGTTTGAGAGCCCACTGTGCGCCAACCTAAATATTCTTTACATGCACATGACAGCTTCGCCATGATGTCTGGTAGCCAAATGTCCCATATAGTACCGTGGTTGAGAAACTCCTGGGTTAGTAGGACTCTAAGGTGAGTACTTTCTTTTTTTTTTCTTTTTGAGAACAGAGTTTTGCTCTGTTGCCCAGGGTGGATGCATGGCACGATCTCGGGCCTACTGCAACCTCCGCCTTCCAGGTTCAAGCAATTTCCTGCCCCAGCTTACCAGAAGCTGGGAATTACAGGTGTATGTGGCCACCGACACCACCCCTGGCTAATTTTTGTATTTTTAGTAGAGACAGGGTTTCGCCATGTTGGCCAGGCTGGTCTCGAACTCCTGGCCTCAAGTGATCCACCCGCCTCGGCCTTCCAAAGCGCTAGGATTACAGGCGTGAGCCACCAGGCCCTGCCAGATGAGTACTTTCTAGTACAGGGAAAACTCAGTCCTTAACAAGGGAGCCCATTGACTGAACGCCCAGGTCTTTAACTTACATTAGCTCAGGAAGCCTTCACAATGACCATGGCAAGGCAATCACTGATGTCCTCCTTTTCCGGAGACGTTTTATTAAATTTTTATTTTATTTATTTATTTTTGAGACGGAGTCTCACTCTGTCGCCCAGGCTGGAGTGCAATGGCGCGATTTCAGCTCACGGCAACCTCCGCCTCCCGGGTTCAAGCGATTCTCCTGCCTCATCCTCCGAAGTAGCTGGGATTACCGGCATGCACTACCACACCCAGCTAATTTTGTATTTTTAGTGGAGACGGGGTTTCTCTAGGTCGGTCAGGCTGGTTTCGAACTCCTGACCTCAGGTGATCTGCCCGTCTTGCCCACAGCTCGCAAGTCTGTAGGGCTCCAGGGCTTGTAATTTTCCATAACACCTCAGTGCCTGCCTCTGCTCAGTGACATCACAAACGTCACAGACATATTGTCTCACTCGGTTGTCCCCTAGTGTGTGAGCTGCACAGAGCCAGGCCTATATACGCAGAGCCAGGCCTATATACGTGGAATATACGTGGATACTTTCTGAAGCCTCCAGGCCTCCGTAAGGAAAGGATGCGTGCCCTGATGTCCACACCCTGGCCCTTAGGCAAGCAAAGTTGAGGAAAGTTTGTTTTCCTAAGGGCCACCAGAGTTCTTTAAAGTGACAACTCTCTCTCTTGCCCACTTTAATGCTTGGGAGGATGGGAGGCTCCGCTCTCTAGTAGACCCAGGACACAAAATACTCCTTAGTATCTATAGAATGCTTTTTGAGTGATGAAGAATAGTCATATCCATGAATTTGGGGGGATGCTCACATCACAGGAGTAAATGAGAGAAGACACGTGGTGCAAAGTTCTTTTCCTGCCAGAATTAAAACTCACCTGAATCTTGTTCCGTAGGCTCTGGCACTCTACTTTCTCCATCTAATATACTAGATGATAATCAGCTCAACTTAGTTAAATCCATGCTAATAAAGAAAAAGTAGAGGACTTCCTGCACACCTCCACCCCAGGTGGTGGGAATTTCAGGCCCAGATGGAAGAAAGTTGGAGGGGGCGGGCACAGGGGATGGCAACCCACCTAGGAAGATTTCATAGGCTGACGGTGCCTCCCTGAGCCCTTCAAATCACCCATTCGGAAGGCAGCCACCCACTCCTCCTCAGGCAAACCGTGGTGGGCCGCATCACCCAGTGACTTAAGATCAGACCACACAGTCATTCAGCATTTCTTTGAATTTTATTGAAAATTGACATGGACATTAGAAAGGTAGTAAGCTAAACAGTGCTGGTTCTGGGATGTTTCTCCTGGAGAATGAAAGCCCCAGAGGGGCAGTGACTGGTCACACCTTTGAGCAAAAAGAACAAAGGAGAAGAAAGGAAAAACACACACAGATTCTGGAAAACATGCAAAGAGGCTCTCTCAAGAGACACTGAACAGCAGAATGGTGGTGATGATGGTAGGGATCTATGAGAATGAGCACACTCACATGGTATTTTGATGCAAGTTAAACCAATGAATTCAAGGCAGATTTACCAACATCAAAGCTCTCCCTCCAGATCCCAGGTTGAGCAGAAACCTCTCTCAAAACCCCAACTGGTCTCAGAAGGTGGAATGGAGTAATTTTGCCCTCACTAAGCTTAAACCCCCTCCCTTCTCTCCCTTCTCTCCCTTCTCCACCTGAGTGTTAGATAGTGGACACATTTTTCCCCTTTGCTGGAATCTATAGAAGGTCTGTGAATGCTGAAGAAGATAAAAATGTCACTTGACTTTCTCTTCCATATTCAGAAATGTTTTAACAGTGGCCGTAGACAGTCAACCCATCGAACCAGAGAAATGTTTAAAAGAAAAACACAAAACGCAAACAAAACCTTGTGAACAGAACAGTACTTCCACACCCACAGCTGAAGTGTCCTGCCCCAGTCACTTACACTTGGGTGAGTGGTCCTGTAGTTGTTTCTCTGAGGTTACATTTGGTCCATTTTCCAGCTCTGATGGTTCTTTTCCTGCCTTGTTAGTTAGGACAAGACACTTCCATTTAAAATACCATGTGAGTCGGGAAGAGAGCTTCTTGCCTGGACACAGGGACACATGAACACTTGTTGGGTGGTGTGGCGTATGTGCGTGTGCTTGCAGTTTGAGGGGAGAGGGAATTGGTTGATTTCTGATTTGAGACAATATGGAACCCTAACTCTTCTATAATGGCAGTCTTCTCCTTTAGACTTAGTGCAGCTGCTGAAGACAAGATTAAAAAAAGCTGGAGAGGGAGAGAGAAAGAGAAAGAAAACATGAGATTAGCCAAAGAAAGAGGACATTCAAAGTAAGACAGAGGGAGGGGAATGGGCAGTACTGAGGTAGCACAGATTATAGTTTGAGAAGACAGGTTAGAAATGGGGGTCACTGTTGGGCCATCACCACGGGGAAATCTGCTGAGAAGGTTTTAAGAACACCACACACCAGTTTAAAGCTTCTTGTTTTAATTAAAAACAAGCACATTATTAACAGCCACATGTGAATGCCAAATGATTAAAACATAAAAACAAAAACAAGAGCCATCTACACTGCAGCTAGGGAAAACAAACTTCTTGGCTTAGGAGAAGTGAAGGATGTGTGTACGTGTGTGTGTGTGTGTGTGTGTATTTCAGAAAAGCCACTCCAGTCTGGGAAAATAAAAGCACAGACCATTGCTAATGACTGGTTTTGTTTCACCAGAAGTAAACAGAGTACTTAGGGTATTTTTTTTAAAAATAGTAACAGTTGTACTAATTTTTTGTTGTTGTTGTTGAGACGGAGTCTCACTCTGTCGCCCAGGCTGGAGTGCAGTGGCCGGATCTCAGCTCACTGCAAGCTCCGCCGTGTCCCTGGGTTTACGCCATTCTCGCTGCCTCGTCCCTCCCAAGTAGCTGGGATTACAGGCGCCCACCGCCAAACTCATCCTGGCTAGTTTTTTTTTTGGTATTTTTTTAGTAGAGACGGGGTTTTTTCACTGTGTTTAGCCAGAATGGTCTCGATCATCCTGACCACGTTGAACCGCCCTCTTGGCCTCCCAACAGTCTAGGATTACAGGCTTGACAGCCACCCCCGCGCCGCGCCTAGTTGTACTAATTAAAACACTTTTCACTGAGAAGGAAAAAATCTTTCTGTCTAACCAGGGAATAAAGCCACCCAATGGAATAATCCCATTTAATGGGCTTGATCAACTTTTTATGGTCACTCATAGGGTTTTTGATTTTTGTTTACCAAGAACTTCCCCTGATTATAATGGTCACCTAGGGCACCTGTTACACACATCTCCTGGACGCCCCGTTCAGCCTTGTCAGCATCACTGGCTGTTAGGAGCTGGCCAGCATGCTTCATGTTGCCAGCCCTCACCCAATCCATCTCAGATGGTTTTTCCTGTGGGAAAAAACCTCGAGGGGGTCTTCTAATACTAACTATTCAGTTACTCTGAACATCAAAAGCCTCGTATCCAGGAATGTATATAAACAGATTGAATCCTTTGTGAAATGGAATTGGGAGTCAGGAGGCAATGAAAATTAAGTCTGGCTTCTGCTGGAAACGCAACTGGGACCTTGCTCAAGTCCCTTCCTTCTCTGGGCTTCATTTCCCCTTACGGAGTAACTAGGTTTATCGTCTTACTGACAAATGTCTCCCTTATATAAACCCTCTTTAGTTTTTGAAGGTCTCTCCAAGGCTGTGTGGGTCTAATACTTTCGAAGTATTCAGAGCTTCTCAGCCTTAAAGTAGTTACACTGTACAGAAATGCAAATGAGGGCCCTCCCGGTTTGTAATGCAATTAATTACGGGGCGACAGGTCGGGTGGTGATTACCAGTTGTTTTTTAGCGTGATTTCTGGGAAAGCAGCTCTGAGCTGGACCATAGAATCATCAAAGTTACAATATCGAAAGCCTTTCCCAGGGAGACCTGACAGGACTAACTCAGCATCTCCTCTGAGCCACTGGCTAGAGTATCTGGAGCAGATGTTTTTTTTTTTTTTTTTTTGGTTGTTGGTTTGTTTCTACCTTCAAGCATATGGTCTTCAAAACAATACTCCACTGTAACTTGAATTTTCCCAAGAAACTGGCTTGTGCTTTGGCAGCATCACCTTTATACTTGCTCTGGTCACTCACCAATCAGTAGAGCACCAGACGGTACACAGCAAACCTACACTCTTGCTTTGCCAACAAAAAAAAAGGAAGTACGTGCATATGTTTGCTTTTCATTTTTTTCTTTTTGCTTCCTACTATGATCTATAATCGAAGCGAGAAATCCCCTTCCCCTTCTCAATACTTCAAAAAGGCCTGGAAATTTGGCATAACCTTGTTTGACTGTGTGCTTTGAAAGTAAGTGATCAAAAAAAGAAACTCTAAAAAAAAAAAAAAAAAATAGAAGGTGGTCATGGTCAGTGCCAGTGGGGCTGGGAGGCAGGAGCAAGTTGTGGAACTCAAAAAGAAGTGAGCTTGAAGTACATGGCAGGGTAGGGGTGGGGGGTCTGGCTGCCTGGCACCCCAAAGGAAAGCTGTCAGTTAAAATAGAAACCTCGGCTTAAAAGGCTAAATGGAGTCCAGTCCAGCTGTAGCGGGGAATACTATTCAGTACACAGCCATGGATTACTGCAAAGGAAGGGCAGAGAGACGGCACGTTAGCCACAGATCATTGCCAGGTCAACTCCATCTCTCACACTGTCACTGGCCAAACACCAAAGGCCACTGTGCCTCATAACCCTAACAAGGGAGGGCTCTCTACTTCACAGAGGTTCCCAAAGCCACTATCAGATGGGACCCATGATAAAAACTAGGGCTGGAATATTTTTAAACTCTCAACTCCTTAAATTGGAAAGCAAGTTAAGGGCCTTCCAAGGTGTAACACCTCTTTTCTTCTCTCCAGCCGATAGTCTCATCTCTTCTTATTGAGGGATGCATGCAAAATGCATGTTAAAAATCATCATGACGTTCACCAAATGAACTACAAGACTCATCAGAGCAAACCCCCAAACACTTGATTCTTTTGACAGCTCAGTTTTCCAGTCTACAAAGTGGGATTTATTATTCCTGCTACTGGCCTCACCCTATTGGGACAGTGTGGAGCCCTTCCGGAAATTACCCCTGAGATGCTGAAATACCTCACAAGAAGAACTCAGTAAGGCTATCATTCAAGACTCTAGGCTGGTAATAATATGTAAGTTTATTCTCCCTTTTGCATCTGTGGGATACCCAGAGTTAGAGAGAGGGGAAACGTCTGCTATTTTCTCCAGCAGTTGTGTTTTATGGGAAGGGCTTGGTGTAAATAAATGCGTTACAGATTTTGAGCACAGCTTGAGTGCAGTTACTTCGAGTGAATGAAAGCTGGAAAGGGCTGGACTCAAAGGTTAGACGGAAAAGCCGCCAAAGGCTCTCCTTTTGAAACTCTCTAAGAAGTGGCTGCGGCTCTTGAGGATGAGGGTGGGGTGGGCCAGGGAAGACTAGTGACTGGGATACAGGAGACCAAGCGGGCAGCTGTGCTTATTGGTGCTTACCCAGCCATGGTGGATGCAAATACCTCAGGGAAAACTAACAGCAACCAGAACTGGAACAGGGGAGCTGCTGGGGAAGAGTAGCAGATGGGCCCCCTGACCATGTCACACCTCTGGCAAAGATGTGGGGGAAGACAGGGGGATGGCTGGGGGTGCTGGGAGGGGGACTGGGATGCAGGATGCATCTGCGAGCCACATGACTGTTGGCTTCTTGACCAGCGGCCAGACATCGCCCTCAGATTCTCAGGTTTCTATAAACCTTGGCAGGAAGAGAGGAGAGGGCCTGGGTTGGACTGTATGCCCCCCAGGCATGTTAAGGGGGAAGTTAGAGAAAGGGAGGCCCAGCTCTGTTGCGCAGGAAAAGGGTGTCTACAGGAAGCCCAAACTGAAAATGAAAAGAGAAGCTGAGTTAATGAATGGATAGATTAATGTACCAAAAAAAAAGAAAAAAAAAAGAAAAAAATAGTCAGAAGAAAATTAAGTCATGAGGACTAATGGCTAAATTAGAATTTAGCTATGTTAGATGGTCTTAAGGTCTTATTGCATTGGCTCCAGGGAACATGCTTTCTAATACACTCCACACACACTCCCACATGATGGCAGCAGTGGCATTAGCCAGCAAAATAATGATCAACAACCACAAAAATACATTTTATCTCTCTTTTTTTTTTTGAGATGGAGTTTCAGTCTTTCACCCAGGCTGGAGTGCAGTGGCGCGATCTTGGCTCACTGCCACCTCCATCTTCCAACTTCAAGCGATTCTCCTGCCTCAGCCTCCCGAGTGGGTGGGATTACAGGCACTTGCCACCATGCCCAGCTAATTTTTGTATTTTCAGTAGAGACGGGGTTTCACCATGTTGGCCAGGCTGGTCTCGAACTCCTGACCTCAAGTGATCCGCCCACCTCAGCCTCCCAAAGTGCGGGGATTACTGGTGTGAGGCACTGAGCCCGCCCTATCTCTTCTTAATGACTAGGTCCTGACTAATGTCTCCCCTCCCCCGCCCCCCACACCACCACCCAATACCTTGTACAGGAATACCTTCTGCAAATCTCTAAGTGGCCTCAGGCCACCGGATAGAGCCCCAGGCTCTAGCCACTGCATTTCCTGTCCCATAAGGAAAGCAGAGGAGGCTGAGGTTTCACCGCAGGAGGCCCTCAGAGCTGTCCTAGTCAGCTAACTGGTACTCTGGGGCAAGACCTGTTTGCAGAGCATATGAGGATGGTTGCTGGTTGCTGAACTCTGCTCTAGGGTCCAGACCACAGTTAACTGAAAACATGAACTATGGAAACCCATCATTGGTTTGTGCTTAAATAATACTTTCACCTCTCTTCCATGTAAGTTTCATTCCTGTGACAAATATATGGCAAGTAGGACTGATCCCCATTATACATATGAGTAGACCGAGAAACACAGAGAAGTCAATAGACTTGCCTGTGGCCGCAAAAGAGTCACTGCTGGGCCCAGAGCTGGTGTGTGTGTGTGTGTGTGTGTGTGTGTATTTTTATTTTTATTTCTTTTGGGACGGAGTCTTGCTCTGTCACCCAGGGTGGAGTGCAATGGTGCGATCTTGGTTCACTGCAACCTCCGCCTCCCAGGATCAAGCGATTCTCCTGTCTCAGCCTCCCAAGTAGCTGGGATTACGGGCGCCGCCACCATGCCCGTCTAATTTTGTATTTTTAGTAGAGACGGGGTTTCACCATGTTGGCCAGGCTGGTCTCGAACTCCTGACCTCGGGTGATCGGCTTGCCTCGGCCTTCCAAAGTGCTAGGATTATAGGCACGAGCCTCTGCGCCCGGCGCCAGAGCTGTTGTTTATTTAAGACTATCACATGCAATGTCCCTGAGAATTCCTTGGCTATAGATCTAAGCCCCTATTTATTACCCGAAGAATAAATTTATCCCATTAAATAAAGACTATTAGATATCTGTCAGGGATAGAAGTATGGGCATAAATGAGTATGTTTTACAGTCACTTCCTCAAAGGGAATATACTCCCATACATACACTTTGAAGGTATACACACACTGAGGTGAATGGTCATTTATATCAGAAATTAGGAGTTCTGCCACCAACTCACCGTGTGGTCCTTGGTAAATTCCTTAAATTCTCTGCTCCTCCATTTACTCTCTTTACTCTCTCTCTCTCTCTCTTTTTTTTTTTTGAGATGGAGTCTTGGTCTGTTGCCCAGGCTGGAGTGCAATGGTGTGGTCTCAGCTCACTGCAACCTCCACCTCCCGGGTTCAAGCAATTCTCCTGCCTCAGTCTCTAGAGTAGCTGGTATTACAGGCACCTGCCACCACGCCCAGCTAATTTTTACATTTTTAGTAGAGATGGGGTTTCACCATGTTGGCCAGGCTGGTCTCAAACTCCTGACCTCAGGTGATCTGCCCGACCCCACCATAGTTGCCAGATACTCTATCTCAGTCGCTTTATTGGTCCCCCTTAGGAGTGGCACAGTATATGGACACGTATATCACAATCAAAATATATCCGAACCTTCCCATGAAACCTCAGAACATAAGGCCATTGCAGTGTAATTTTTAGGTTACTCATTCCCCCTAGGAAGTAGACAAAGAAGGTACAAAAAACTACCGAAGCATATGGAAGACATATTGTCATAAGAAAAGCTTTATATTACTTATCCAACAGATGGTTTATGTTGTCTGTTGTTGTTGTTTTCTGATTTTCGAGGGGTTTTTTGATACTGGTATCTCATTTTATACTTACAACAGGTCCTCGTGAGAGCCTAGGAAGGAATATCCCCAGAAAATTATAGCAGAAGAATAGTATGGAGGGCTGAGGTCGAAAGAAGTGGAAACTCACTCCACTGATAATCTAAAGCCGCTTTGGGAAGGCTGAGGTGGGCGATCACTTGAGCCCAGAAGTTAGGAGACACAGACCTGGGCAAACATGGTGAAAACCCGTACATACATATTTTTTTGATAGTTTGTTTGTATTTTAAAGAGAGTATGGCTGGGCATGGTGGACTCACGCTGGTAATCCGCACTTTTGGGAGGCAAGGCG